ATGCGATTTATCGAAAACACAAAGAGTGCAATTGTACTATACGTTTTATTCCATTGCACTCGCAGAGAGTGCAATGGAACGTATTCCATTGCACTCTTGGGAAATGGAATTTTCTATTCAATATCACGTGACCATAAACAGCCAACTAAACAATCAGAATTCAATAAGGTATTATATAATATTAACTAGTGACCACCATCTTTTTGACCCACAATTTTGGTTCTTATTCAAATTGTATACATGCATAGTGTGTATAGTATGTATAGCCGGTCTAAGCCGGTCTATTTTGTATAGTGTGTATAGCGTGTATAGTGCGCATAGTGTGTATAGTGTGTATAGTGTGTATAGTGTGTATATAGCTTGTATAGCGTGTATAGCGTGCATGTATAGTGTGTATAGCGTGTATATTGTGTATAGTCATGTTGTGTGTATAGCGTGTATAGTGTGCATAGCCTGTATAGTGTGTATAGTGTGTATAGCATGCATAGTGTGTATAGTGTGTATTGTGTCTATAGCGTGTATAGTGTGTATAGTGTGTATAGCGTGTATAGCGTGTATAGTGTGTATAGTGTGTATAGCGTGTATAGTGTGTATAGTGTGTATAGCATGTATAGTGTGTATAGTGTGTATTGTGTATATAGCGTGTATTGTGTGTATAATGTGTATAGCGTGTATAGTGTGCATAGCATGTATAGTGTGTATTGTGTGTATAGCGTGTATAGTGTGTATAGTGTGTATAGTGTGTATAGCGTGTATAGCGTGTATAGTGTGTATAGTGTGTATAGTGTACATAGCGTGTATAGCGTGTATAGGATGTATAGTGTGTATAGTGTGTATTGTGTGTATAGCGTGTATAGTGTGTATAATGTGTATAGCGTGTATAGTGTGTATAGTGTGTATAGTGTGTATAGTGTGTATAGTGTTTATAGCATGTATAATGTGTATAACGTGTATAGTGTGTATAATGTGTATAGCGTGTATAGTGTGTATAGCATGTATAGTGTGTATATAGTGTGTATTGTGTGTATAGCGTGTATAGTGTGTATAGCGTGTACAGTGTGTATGGTGTGTATAGCGTGTATAGCGTGTATAGTGTGTATAGTGTGTATAGTGTGTATAGCTTGTATAGCGTGTATAGCATGTATAGTGTGTATAGTGTGTATAGTGTGTATTGTGTGTATAGCGTGTATGGTGTGTATAATGTGTATAGCGTGCATAGTGTGTATAGTGTGTATAGTGTTTATAGCATGTATAATTTGTATAGCGTGTATAGTGTGTATATCGTGTATAGCGTGTATAGCGTGTATGGTGTGTATAGTGTATAGTGTGTATAGCGTGTATAGCGTGTATAGCGTATATAGTGTGTATAGCGTGTATAGCGTGTAAAGTGTGTATAGTGTGTATAGTGTGTATTGTGTGTATAGCGTGTATAGCGTGTATAGCGTGTATAGTGTTTATATAGTGTGTATTGCTTCTATTAATTCTGCTTCTAATATATATCGTCACTTATTTGAGACGTTGCACTATCCGATTCGTCATCGTAGCTGCTTTCATCATTGTGCTTGCTTTCATCATCTGAGATATTGATATCCTAAGATATTATATGATATCGTAAGATACAGTATGATATCCTAAGATACTGTATGATATCCTAAGATATTGTATGACATCCTTAGATATTGATATCCTAAGATATTGATATCCTAAGATATTGATATCCTTAGATTTTGATATCCTAAGATCTTGATATCGTAAGATAGTGAATAATACCCAAAGATATTGATATCCTAAGATACTGTAAGATATAATAAAATATTTGTATGATATCCTATATACAGTATGATATTCCAAGATACTGTATGATATCCTAAGATACTGTATGATATCTTAAGATATTGTATGATATCCTAAGATATTGATATAATAAGATACTGTAGGACATCTTAATTTAGATACTGCATGATTCGATCCTTAAGATATTGACATCGTGAGATATTGTATGATATTTCGAGCCAATGTCGACAGGCTTGGAGTCACTCTAAAGAGCTTGTAACCGAGTTCTCAGTAGCTCGGAGACACTCTAGTTCATAGTCCCGACTATAGTCTTAATAGTCATGATTATAGTCTTAATAGTCATGACTATAGTCTTAATAGTTATGACTATAATCTTAATAGTCATGACTATAGTCTTAATAGTCATGACTATAGTCTTCATAATCATGACTATAATCTTTTTTGTTATGACTATATTCTTATTAGTCATGACTATAGTCTTAATAGTCGTGACTATAGTCTCAATGGTCATGTTGCTTGAGGGACGATATAATGTTCCTCGTTCCCTGCGCTCACTCATGCCTTAAGAGGCTGTCTCTGTAAAAACCGACCACTCATATTTTACGTAAAAAGTAAATCCACCTAAAACTTTATGACCAGGAAGGTTTGGCCTTTTAATTACCTGAATCGGTTTTACTTTTCTCAAATATTTTATTTTTATCCAGATATACTGATCAATAGTCCCATGGACCTCGGAGGCAAAATGGCGGCCGTCTAAACACGACATTTCCTACTAAATTCGGTTGCCGCATACGCGAAATTCTGACTTCCAATCTCAATTCCGCTTGGATATCTTTTAACAACAAGTGGTTGAAATTTATCGTTAATGCTAACATCCTTGATTTCATGTATTATTTATTTAAAAACTTTGCACAACGTAACCACGTCTGATCCGCCTTGTCTGTACGGCCAACACATCACGTCGAGGAGAATTTGATATTCCCGAATCTGGATTGAAATTTCCACAACAAACTACCATAGTTGTGTTATATACTAATAATTAGTTGAATAATATATTGTGTTATTTCGTGTGGATCTGTTTGCGTTTCTTCAACAGAATGTTGTCAATATCCATCATATCCAGCTTAATTCGCCAACAGAAATAATTGGCACTGCCAACTGTTCAAGTACTGTTGGCCAGAATAATTCGCTAAATACTTACGAAAGCACAAGTATTGGGTTTTAAAAAAGCAACGTTAAATAGTTTCAAAACTAAAAACTACTTGAAACTTCTGGAAAATCATAAATATAGAAAATGTCTTGTTTCTGGCGCATTGCTAACAACAAAAGACGACAGTTCACGCACAGAGTTGACCATTACTTTTAATTTTTTACGCGTTGTACCTTGCAAGTCTGGTAAACAAATGTGTGATGATGAAAGTTAGTAAAAACCGGGAATGTTCCGTAGTTACCGGGAATATTCCTGCTTTATATATTTGTACTATTATCAAAAATCTTATTATTTAAATACTTTCCCATATATTGTTCCATCACGGTGCTATACTTCCGGTATGCTTAATCATCATCAATTTCAGTCACTGGGCGCTTCTAGCTTTTACATCGATGTTTTTCTAATATTTTATTATTGCAAACGTAGTTCTGTCCCATTAATATTATAGATCAACGATGTCTTCGCTATGTTGTTTTATCGAAGGAAAAGAAGAATACTCTTGCTGCAGCGAGGAACTAATTCGTCTGACAGAATGTCAAAGTGACATAAAACATCACCTACGAACTAACGATCTTTCTTCTGAAACACTAACAGAAGTAGAGTTAATCCTTTTAAGGGCAGGAATAGTCAATCTTCGCCAGGGACAAATAGATGCAATGTGGATCTGTACAAAGCACCGACTCTATCTTGGAAAGCAGTCGAGACCATCTCGCCTTTCCTGTCACTACCCTAAACACAATGGCAAGCGAACGGCACTAAAAACGCGCGATACGATTGGAGTAGACATGTGCAAAAATGTGCAACAGTTGTACCAAGTCCATGTTCCTGTTGGGTCACGTAAGCATTTTTCAAATTAATCCTGTTCTTTAAAAGTTATTTGCAAAATAGAATTGGTATATTGCCCTTGCACAGGATTGCCGCGTAGGTCATTCTAATTAACTAAAATTTCTTCCGTGCAAAAATTTCTTGTACATTTTTTCATTAGCAGGGAGGGTGAAATATTTTCCCCAGACCCTTCTAAGTGTCGGGTTGGGTACTGTTTTAACTTCAGTTAACTTCAACTAGGCCTTCATTCGAATATTCAGCGATATGTGTTAAATGCAGAAAGGAATATAAGGAGACCATGGCGTCCAGCAGCTGGCTAAATTTTTACCACTCCTAAAGAAACCATGAAGGATGATGATTCAACAGAGAGTTATTTTATGATAATTAAATCCAATCTTTTTGACGCTTGCAAGCTGTTTTCGTTTGGGTGCTTAGCTGTGAAAGACCCAATCACGTTCATTTAACTATATTGAAAGAGTACCAACATTGCAAAAACACATATAGCCTGGGTGTGGCTCGCATCTCCAAAACATTTGGTTCGGTTGGTGGAGCCAAAAACTCCATAGTGCTGCGATTTCACTATGATTTTTCAATTTGCAGGATAGCTTTTGATATGGCTACAATGAAAATTAAAGAAAGTTTAGAGTCTACTCCTTTACCAACTTCGAAACGAGCTCCCCGGTTGAGCATGGTACGCGAGTGGATACCAGATGATGATGAACAGGAAAAAGAAGACACTATTTTTGACAGTAATGACGAAGAAATTCTGACGACCTATAACGAATTTCTTTCAAATATCGCAGGTAAACCTCTGTCGTGGGCTGTTCGCCTGTTTGGCAAATGGTCCATCGCAACTGGGAACAAATGAAGCAAGATATCAAGGCGAACTGCGTAAAAAAAGCAACTGAAGCATGTCATGTTGTCTGTGAAGTTATCGCTCCAGAAGCAGCCGAAGAACTCTTTGAAGCAATCCATCCACCGCGCGAAGAACCATTAAGTGGCGAGCTTGTTGGTATGATTACAGCATATAGAGACGCGCCAACAAGGAAGTTAAAATTGCAGATACTAAGCTTATACGCCTTCAGCTATTCAGCCAAGAAAATTAACTGATGCATTTTCATGAACCGTATGAACGTTTAACAAAATGGAAAATTAAACGAGCTCGCGCGCATGCAAAAAAGGTTGGCCCAGGAATTCCCATAGAAAACGAAAGTACCACAGAGTTCGAATCGATACTGAAAAATCGGATCATTTTCTCGAATTATTAACCGACCATACTTTTATCAAGACGTTTCGTTTGGTACACGGAAGCTAAAACTTGATTCCGGTGAGCAACTTACCATGCCAAACGTAGTCCGAACGGTAACAAGATTAACAATGATATTCAAGTACTTGGAGTTCTGTAAGGAGCAAAATTTCGATCCTCTCAGTAGATCAACCCTTTACAGAATTCTGGATGCAAGAGAAGCCTCAAAAAGAAAAGCGTTGCAAGGACTTGACAACATCGCTTCAATTTAGACGGCGCGGCATGATTTGAAAGCTTGGAGAACATCATATAAGAACTAGAAAAGATTGGTATTTCTAAAGAATATAATGGGCTGATACCAAAAAGAGATTTCTGAGGGAAGGGAAGCGCTACTTCAAGACAAATTATGTGACGCACTACGAAGAAGCCGAAAGCACATGCGCCGATCATTGCAGTAACTTTGCGCTAAGTGACCCTATAGATAAAGATCTACAGAAAAAGTGTTCACATTCCCATTCCAGCTCATGTGCGAGTTGCGAAAACCTCAAAAAGACTCTATAGGATACAAGGATGGTTATATGCGCAGCAACGAATATGTACAGCAAAGAACAACAGGCAGATCTATTGTACGACTATTCCAACGCTCGTGTACAAGTTGAACAATGGAAAGCGCACATATTAACGTCACAGAATCAGGATAAAGCGAAGCACGATGTGGTTGATGGTCTGGAAAATAATTCCGTGTTTATACTTTGTGACTGGGCAATGAAATTTCTGACAGTAAAATATCGCGAGAAACAAATCGATTGGTTTGGAAAGCGGGGTCTAAACTGGCATATTAGCAGCTGTATTTTGAAGCGAGACTCAGGAACGTTTGATGTCATCTCCTACGCTCATTTATTTGATTCATGCGCACAAGACTAGTATGCAGTATTGTCGATTCTGGAAAATCTGCTGAACGAAATAAAGAGAGAGAATCCTCAGATAACAAAAGCATAGCTGCGCTCTGACGAGGCTGGGTGCTATCATAATAACTTTCTCGTTGCGGCCTTACGTGATGTTGGCAGAAGAAGTGGAATTAAAATCGAAAGATATGATTTCTCGGAGCCACAGCATGGCAAAGACCTTTGCGATCGAATTATTTGTCCTATGAAGAACTCGATTCGCGTGTACTGCAACGAAGGACATGATATTACAACTACAGCAGCAGTTTGTGTACTTGATAAGTCAAAGTGCACTCTGGAAGTGAACAAACTTCTAAACTTTAGTAATTACCATAACTTTTCGTACGAGCACATTGGATTACGAGCGTGGAAAGCATTAAACATCGGGACTGGAAAATTTTTTGCATATGATGATATTTTCAACAACGACCAAGATCCGACAGACTTAATAACGGAGGAAAGTTTCTTCCCAATAAACCAACTGCGAACATTCACTCCAAAAAGCAGTAAATCGGAGGAACATGAGGAAAATAATTTATACGAGTGCACCGAGGAAAATTTCTCATTTTCTTTCAAAACACTCGATGAACTTGAGATGCATGTTGCGGTCGATCGTCACTCTAAACCAAACACAGATGGCGAGAGATTTTTTGATAAATTGCGTCGAGACTGAGCAGGACGGTTTGCCACGATTGACAAGACGGGAGAAGTTGTAACACAGTCAACTCCCTGTAGCAATAATCAAGACACTGAGACACTTCCAATAGGTTGGGCCCCCCAGAAAAGAGTATCCACAGGGAAGTTCCCAGAAGGGGTGAAAACTATCTGACTGCTATATTTGACTTGGGAGACGCAACAGGAAGGAAGGCTGATCCAATGCAAGTATATCAGTGGATATGAGAATGGCAAGAGATGAAAGTGGCGAGCGGATTATTACGCATGAAAATTGGCTTACCAAGACACAAACAAAAAGCTTCTTTTCTCGTTTGGCCGCAGTTAAAACTGTTTAACATTCCAATGCTAAAGAATATTTGTGAATATTTTGAAATCAGCTTCAAAGCACGCGACAAGAAGGCTGTCAGCTTCTTTTAAAAAAGACCGTCAGATTTGGTAAGAGAATGTGACTGCTCGTCCTTCTGATTTTCATATTTATGTTCTATAATACTGTACGTTGAAGTCGATGGTATAAATGGTAATATAACAAAATTGCAATAAACATATAGTCCATGGACCGGTTGTTCAAAGCTCGATTAGAACTGACAAAGCATGTGTTAAGTTGTAACCTACTATTTTGAGGGTATTCCTGTAAGACCGTTCATTCATTTCAAAAGTTTAGAAATAAAACATCTACTGATCCAAAAAAGATTTCTGAAAAACCTATTTAATTTTATAAACAAGCTGTTGGAAGTTCTATTTGGACCCACGGTTAGAACAACCGGCTTTTGATGACAACTGGCGCCAGAATATAGAATGAAGCAAAGTGTGCGGGTGCAACAGGTGGGCAATCTGTCTGAGCATGAGCGAAGAAAATCAATATGGCGACATATATTAGGAGTGTTTCGTGAATTTATCTGGTTTTAAAGCTGATAAAACAACATTTTAATGAACGAAAACTTTGTAATATTTAGTGGAAAACATTAAGCTATGCATTCCAAAGGTTTTAAATTGAAAATAAGTACTTTTGCTTTATTTTATTGCTTTTTATGCTTTGAAAACAGGCAACCTCATTTTTTGGCAAAAATCTAATCTAATATTTTACCCATCATTTGTTTAATCTAAACAGAAATAGATAGAACACTTGGCTATATAAGTTACCAAGGTATTGTTAGCTTATCTGAAAGATGTCAGTATTCCTGGTACACATTTTAACAAAGAATGAAATGTAATTTCAAAAATTAAATATGCATATCACAAACAATAGTTTTTATTAGAACAGCACATAATAAGTTGTTATTTTCTATTTTTACAAAAACAAGTTTGGAAACAGGATTTAGTCCTCCAGCTTGATGTCATATTCCATTTATTTGGATATTTCAATAAAGGAATGTGAAATAATAATTTAATCTTGTGCAAAATTTGATACCACCACACATGTGAACAGATACTATCACCTAAAAAAAAGAAAAGAAAACAGAACTTAAATTTATCATTTAATACTATGAAAAAAATCTTAGATTCTACAGGCATTTAGTGAGCACAATTCTTTAACAAACTCACTAAAATAAGTTAAGTTATACTATGATAGGAGGATGGCAATAGATAACAACATCAAATGTTGTCATCTTCAGTGTCCAAAAAAAGTGCCGAACGCATTTTTCATGGTCGCATAACTGGTATTGCCACAAACCCAGGTGAAAAAGCAATTAGAAAAACCTGGTTTTGTGTGATGAGCATAGTCAAATTCTTGACTTATTCAATGTTCTATGTTTTTCCAGGTAAACAGATTAAACATTGAAATAAGCCACATTCGGGACTTCATAGAATCCAAACCATTGTGTATGGACCAGACTGTTTTCAATTTTCTGTGATTTACATAACACTAGTTATAATTTAAGGATCAACCAGTATTGTTCAAGACATATTATCTTTCCAAAACACCTTTTCAAAATACTAACCCAAGCATATCAAAAATAGTGTACATTTACAAGGGCAATTTCAACCCTCTGGCACATTTTTCCCATGAATGATTTCAATTATAATAGAAAGACTATAGATAAAACTTTGATTTAAAGCTAGTTTCAAGTGATGAGCATACCCTAATTTTTAAGCTATACCTCAAAGAAGATGGGCCATTTCAACATAAACATTGAAACATGGGTATACTGCCAGCTCTGTCACACGTGTAGTTTGACATTAGCAGCCCTTCTGAAACATTTTAATTCACATTTTCACTTACTTCTTAACATCTGTTTTAATCCAACTAGCTCTGTAGGCACGAGTGAAATTTAGTGTTGATGTAAATATCCATTTAGTTTATGATTCCCCGGTGAAAATATAGTCTATTCCAACGCTGATTTCGACGTATACTTTAGCTTTTCAAAAACCGTTGGCCTTCTTCAGTAAGATTATTAACTGTTTCACAAACATATTTGATAGTAAACAGCTAAAATATTCTCCGAAAGTCTGTATTTTTGCTCTTCGACGCGAAAATGGCAACTCAAGAAGAAATGAGCCGCTATTTTTGTCAGCGTCGACAAATTGCCCACCTGTTTGCGGGTGCGCGTTTGGGTTGGTGTGTAAGCTGGGGGAAAAAGTTATTTCGCTGACCTCAGAATGACATTTCGTCAAAAATGTTTTCTTCAACATACTAACAAATCTTACACCCAGTGCGCCTATATGTATATAAGCGCCCTGCTTACATCTAGTTATATCCTTGAGGCTTAACAGCATAATGAATAAATATTTTTAGAACAACATAAACTCGCAGAAGGAAAGAAATTACGATATTATTATTGTTGACTCATTTGAGTCTTACCAATTATTAAAGTTGCAGAAATAAAATCAACATTTGTAAGGTCGCTGTGGAAATAAGGTTTTCGAACCAGAATTGATACGATAATATAAAGCCTCAATATAAGCGTTCACATTTTTTGGCAAGGTACAACGAGTAAAACATTAAAAGTAATGGTCAACTCTGTGCGTGAACTGTCGTCTTTTGTTGTTGGAAATGCGCTAGAATCAAGATATTTTCTATATTTATGATTTTCCAGAAGTTTCAAGTAGTTTTTAGTTTTGAAACTATTTAACATTGCTTATTTAAAACACAATACTTGTGCATTCGTAAGTGTTTAGCGAATTAATCTGGCCAACAATACTTGAACAGTTGGCAGTGCCAATTATTTCCGTTTGTGAATTAAGCCGAATTTGATGGATATTGACAGCATTCTGTTGAAGAAACGCAAACAGATCCACACGAAATAACACATTATATTATTCAACTAATTATTATATAACACAACTATGGTAGTTAGTTGTGGAAATTTCAATCCAGATTCGGGAATATCAAATTCTACTCGACGTGTCGTGTTGGCCGTACAGACAAGGCGGATCAGACGTGGTTACGTTGTGCAAAGTTTTTAAATAAATAATACATGAAATCAAGGATGTTAGCATTAACGATAAATTTCAACCACTTGTTGTTAAAAAATATCCAAGCGGAATTGAGATTGGAAGTCAGAGTTCCGCGTATGCGGCAACCGAATTTAATAGGAAATGTCGAGTTTAGATGGCCGCCATTTTGCCTCCGAGATCCATGGGACTATATTGATCGGTATATTTGGATAAAAATAAAATATTTGAGAAAAGTAAAACCGATTCAGGTAATTAAAAGGCCAAACCTTCCTGGTCATAAAGTTTTAGGTGGGTTTACTTTTTACATAAAATATGAGTAGTCGGTTTTTAGGGAGACAGCTTCTTAATATCGTCACTCAAGCAACATGACCATTAAGACGATAGTCATGACGATTAAGACTATAGTCATGACAATTTAAAACTATAGTCATGACTATTAACACTATAGTCAGGACTATGCATTATCTAGGGTGGCTGCAAGCTATTGAGAACTCGGCTACGAGCTATTTAGAGTGACTCCAAGCCTGTCGAGATTGGCTCGAAATATCATACAATATCTTAGGATGTCAATATCTTAAGGATCGAATCATGCAGTATCTTATTTAAGATGTCCTACAGTATCTTAGCATATTAATAACTTAGGATATCATACAATATCTTAAGATATCATTCAGTATCTTAGGATATCATGCCGTATCTTGGAATATCATACAGTATAATTATTAGGATATCATACAAATATCTTATGATATCTTTCAGTATCTTAGGATATCAATATCTTAGGGTATCGGTCAGTATCTTAGGATATCAAGATCTTAGGATATCAAAATCTAAGGATATCAATATCTTAGGATATCAATATCTTAGGATATCATACAATATCTTAGGATCGGTGTCATACAGTATCCTAGTATGTCATACAGTATCTTAGGATATCATGCAGTATCTTACGATATCATACAATATCTTAGGATATCAATATCTCGGATGATGAAAGCAGCCACAATGATGAAAGCAGCCACAAAGATGAAAACAGCCACGATGACAAATCGGATAGTGAGACGTCTCAAACAAGCGTCGATATATATTAGAATCAGAACTTTGTAAAATATTTTGACGAAATAAATATAATTTAAAGTGAAATCTTGTGCAAATGTTTACCTGCAAAGCCATTTAAGGTAATAAATTATCCCTATCTATCCATAATAAGCACTTAAGAGATTAAAATTTTGCTTGTAATCTGTAATAACTCTCTGTTCGTTAGTATTTTTTTCCAGTCTCAAGCTCGCTGGGTGAAATAAAAAGATTGTATATATCAAAACGGGGTGGGCGGGTTAATCACTTTTTAATGACTCAGTAATACGCAAATATCGACCATAACAACGGCGTTGACAACGATTTTAACTTGGGTTTAGCAACTGCTTAGTTCTGTTTAAAACTTTTCATATGTATGTCTGGATTTTTACTATTCCTCGTTTAAGTTAATAGTCCTAAACACGGTGAATACACCCCCAGAGAAAACCAAGGTTGGTGTTAAAGTAGTGGACACTCTAATAACAAGATAATCTAATATTAATCTTGTAATACGATGAATTCAAATACACCTTACATACTCTACGTGTAATTGATACGATATGATATCCTGATGACGTAATGGGTGGAACTCTAGTGCTCCACCCGCTCCACAAGTCCCAGAACACCCCTTCCCTATACTACTCTGCCTCTTCCATGTTTGAGAGTCTCCGCACCCCAAAATTCTATAATTCGAAATGCTGACACGTTAGAGGAGATTCTTACCAAGTTTCTGCTGAGTAAAACTTTTGCACATAATTTTAAAGAAATTGGTATTTTTGGGCTGCTGCCTTTTCCAAATCTGAGATTGTACGCAGTGAATAAGGGGAGATGTACAACTATAATTGTAAATATAATCGTTATACGTTAACTTACAGTTAAATATTTGAAAAAAATGTTTTCAAACCGCTTAGATTTTTCACGTCGTTTTCCAAAAAGTACCACCAAAATGGCGAATTTGACCTTTGTTAGCAAAGCTAATTATGGCAGCCTCAAGTCCCATTTATCCCCTGTTTAAATTAATCTAAAACTCATAAGAAAAGGTGTGGAAACTTTATCTTCCAAGTTACATGGCCAATTTATATACAGTTACACCAATCGTGGAGGCCTCAAGTCCCATTTATCCCCTGTACGTACAAGTATAAATGAATCTAAAACTCTTTAGAATTGAAAATGTGTGGAAAGTATATCTTTCAAGTTACCTGACCAATATCTATACAGTTACGCCAATTTAATTTAGGTTCAAAATTCGAAAATGATATAAATCAGTAATAAGATAAAACAAAACATAGAAATAAACACGAAAATTGTCAAGTAGCTACAGTGTAGATCATTATTAACATCACTAAAGATCAAGACCTATGTTCATATATTGAGACAATCCCCGCAAAATAGTCAAATAATCATTACAAGTAAATGGCAATTGCAATTTATTTAAAAAGCCGCTGAACTAAAAAACCTGGAGCGCTGCCTCCAAAGTTCTAACTATGCTGAAAAAATAATCGCCCGTCGAGGGGGTTTAGATAATTTACGCAACAATGTTCCTAGTTTTCCCTATAGCGCTACAGTCAATAATAAAATTATTAATAATGGAAAAAGAAAGCAAGTTTCTACAAACAGATGAACCAAGGTTCCATACTTTGACAGTCTGAAAGATCAAACATTTTCTGTCGTCGACGCATTCTCGCTTTCTGTGGGCAATATAGCTGCCGCAGGTCTTTCCATTGAACTATAATTACTAACATCTTTCCCCACTCCACTTCCGGCTGAATCACCTTGTTGTAGATTGCTCAACTTGTTGTATGGAACAAAAACATATCGTACGCGTTGTATGACGTCATAAACATGGCGGCCAAAGTCGTCAACATTTCCCCAAGCGTTTCGAAGCCACTCCATAGCAAATGGTCGAATTAACTGAAGTCTGTCGTACCATGAATTTCGCGCGGGTCCTGTGTTCATGTAGGTGAAGGCTATTTCAGATACGGTAGAGCACCTAGTCCCCAGGCCTTTACCAGCGCGACCGCGAAATTCAAGATGGCGCCAAGCTAAGGAGTGGAGTTTAAATGGAGTTTATATTCTATAATTTCTATTGTTGTTTTTTGATCTTTTTATTCTTTTTGGTTGGTAGGACTTATATTCTGATATGCCAGGTATCTTACTCTTTACCTGATTAATCTGAAAAACGATTTTATAACAGAATTTTTCTCAAACATAGTTTAAATTAATATCTATATGTTTCAGTGAATTATCCTTTAAAAGTAAAAAATAGATTGGCCAAGATAAGAAATTTTTGACACTTTCAACTTCAATTTTGAAACTTGTAATAACAGCCTAGTTTATATTCCATAATCCACAGAGCTTGAAAATCCATGCAGAATGTACAAATTATTGACTTTTCGAGTGAAGTTCTGTTTGAATTTTTCAGGTACTAAGTTATATCTAGTTATTTTGTTATCGTCTCTATCTAGCCTGGCACAGACCATTCAAGATTGCACTGTTTAATTAGCACCAACACTAACAGTCATGGTGGCAGGGATGGATCCAGCATGATCTGGTAGAAGGGGGGGTTGATCTGCCAGCTCTAATGCCGAGTTATGTTGGTCATGCATGCCACCCGCCCATCAACTTACAGGTCAAGTCTTGCTTGACTACTGTATTTGAATTGTAATTGTTGTTCACAGTTTGCTTCTTATCATGTTATCGATATCACTCAAATTACTGTATCTCATTTTGTCTCTATAATATTTTTTGTTTTATCATGAAAAATAGCACTCCCCCCCCCCTGGCCAGGGCTAGGGAGGTGCACCCCCCCCCCAGTAAATCCATCCCAACATACAGTTGGGTTTATAGGGGGAGGGGAGGGGGGTTGACAGAGGTACACACCCTTGGCCAACAGGGGAGTGTAAAAATCTAAAGGGGGGGGTGCACTTCAAATTTAATTTACCATACATCTGAGCATTTGAGATATTGTATATAATTAGTATTACAAATATATTGCCACCTTGTAACCTTAGATATTTCATGTGGTATGTGTAATTGGGGTTAGTACGCTAAGTAGCTTACTCGTCAAGCAATGCCGGGTTCAGAGTCCTCACCTGTTCCCCTAGCAATCAACAATATACAATTTTAATGCCAAATTGTGTGCCAACATGCAAAATGGACTCTGCACAGGTTGTGCACTACCTTCTCATTTCATGCTGGGTGAACATTATCGTGAGGATAGCAAAAAAAACATGTTCACAACTAATGTGTCCTCTTTTACTACTTTTGTAATTATCTTGTTCCATGACCTAAATAAGCTAACACACTTAGTAGCTCATGCTTACCTTTCAACTGGCACATTAGCAATGGCCGGCCCATTTTTCTTTATAGTGGTGTCAGGTGTGCAAGTTATTCAATACGGTACTAACCTTGTATACAGGGCGTTATAGAATTAAAAAAATCTGGGCAGTATGTTACAAGGCCATCGGAAGTAAATCAATATTGGGGGGACTCAAGAATATATCTGAATAAATTTTAATTGCTTTTGCACTTTTCTAGTTATTTTGTGTGTTTTGCTTATACAAATGGAAATTTTAGGGGGGGGGCTCAAGCCCCCCACTTCTGACGGCCTTCAGTGTTACATGTGACATTGCCAGCTGCCATTAATAGTTTGTAGATTGCAAGCTGTAGATTGCAAGTGGTAATGCACTTTCTCCATTGGTATTATAGACATAATACACATAAAATTCCACAAGACCAATTAACTTGGTAATCCTGAGTATTCCATACTCATTGGGAAATCAGTCAGATGCAATTGTACCCACCCTCTGGTCAACCCTTGCCACTAGACGTTTCAGTACCTTTGCCCTGCATACCATGGTTTATGAACTCAACATTTTATGATTGAATTAGCTCTTCTACTATGATATTTTATGCTCAAGTAAATAGAAAGTTGTACAGCAAGCCGGCTGGAATAATGGTCAGATGTTCACTCCGCAGTGGCATAACTCCTAAGGGCTGTGCCTAGCAAGAGCCAGGGGCCCAGGGGGTGTGCCTTGTCAAGGAAGGTCCCTGGGCTAACCTTTATGCAGTGTTTGGAAATTTTAATTTAAATAATTAATTTAATTAATAAATTAAATTAATAATTAATTAAATTAATAATAATTATTATAAATAAATTAATAATAATTAATTAATATTATTTCGTCTGAGCTCCCGTCAACCTCTCGGCGGCCCTGTTCTTCAATCGTTTGAAATGACCTTACACCCCCCTGAAGAATCCCTAAGGATGGCCCTCGGTCAAGGGGGCCCTTCACGGGGAACACTGAGATTTCATCCTACCCATAATTAAGATTCTGGAAAATGAGTACCCCATATGCCCCTAGTGTCTAATAGAATGTGAATTTCAAGTTGTAAAATAAAAGGAAAGTGCTATTTTTGCAGGGTATATCCTTAAGTGACCCAAAAAATAGATTGATTATGTGATCACCTTTAACTTCTTAAAAACAACTTAAAATCTAACTTTACCCAGAAATAGTTAAATACTTTGCATTCTATGGAATACAAAGCTCATTTGTAACTTACTGTTTGCAATGAGTAAAATTAATATTGTATTATGTAATGTAATCTTCAAAAATTATGAAGGGCCTTAGAACTCCTCTCCCAACTAAAGAAACAAATTAAAGGGGATGGCTTGGTCCATTACACCCTACTGTTAATGACAGGGATGGCTTTACTGGGGGGTGCACCCCCCTAGCCCTGGCCAGAGGGGGTGTGTTATTTTTCATGATAAAGCAAAAAATTATTAGAGGCACAATAAGATACAGTAATTTGAGTAATAACATGATGATAAGTGAACTGTGAACAACAATTACAATTCAAATACAGTAGTCAAGCAAGACTTTGCAGTAGTGAAACAGGTTGATGGGTGGGCGGCACACATGACCGACACAACTCGGCACCATGCAGAGCTAGTAGAGCAACCCCCCCCTACCAGATCATGCTGGATCCATCCCTGGTTAATGAAAAACATGAGATTGATTATAAAGTTTGTCTCCACTATGTGTTCTTTTATGTCTTGCTGAAGTACTTGAATATCTGAATTCTTTACAGATATGATATTCATATAAGGTTTTACTCTATTATGTGTTCTTTTATGTGACAATAACTAAATTGTTTGATGTTGAATGTTTGTTACACATCTTAGCAAGCCTCATATACAGGATGTGCTTGCCTGTATCATGATTTGTTGCAGTGTATGTTGTTTAAACAAATTTGCCATCTACAGCATTGATTTATTTTTCACAATTCTGCAAACTATTAATGGCAGCTGGCAATGTCACATGTAACACAAGGCCATCAGAAGTGGGGGGCTTGAGCCCCCCCCCTAAAATTTCCATTTGTATAAGCAAAACACACAAAATAACTAGAAAAGTGCAAAAGCAATTAAAATTTATTCAGATATAGTTCTTCCGATGGCCTTGTAACATCCTGCCAGATTTTTTTAATTCTATAATGCCCTGTATACAAGGTTAGTACCCTATTGAATAACTTGCACACCTGACACCACTATAAAGAAAAATGGGCCGGCCATTGCTAATGTGCCGGTTGAAAGGTAAGCATGAGCTACTAAGTGTGTTAGCTTATTTAGGTCATGAAACAAGACAATTACAAAAGTAGTAAAAGAGGACACATTAGTTGTGAATATGTTTTTTTTTGCTATCATCACGATAATGTTCACCCAGCATGAAATGAAAAGGTAGTGCACAACCTGTGCAGAGTCCATTTTGCATGTTGGCACACAATTTGGCATTAAAATTGTATATTGTTGATTGCTAGGCAAACAAGTGAGGACTCTGAACCCGGCATTGCTTGACGAGTAAGATACTTAGCATACTAACCCCAATTACACATACCACATGAAATATCTAAGGTTACAAGGCGGCAATATAATTGTAATACTAATTATATACAATATCTCAAATGCTCAGATGTATGGTAAATTCAATTTGTAGTGCACCCCCCCCCCTTTCAATTTTTACACTCCCCTGTTGGCCAAGGGTGTTTACCTCCGTCAACCCCCCTCCCCTCCCCCTATAAACCCAACTGTATGTTGGGATGGATTTACTGGGGGGGTCACCTCCCTAGCCCTGGCCAGGGGGGTGCTATTTTTCATGATAAAGCAAAAAAATATTTTAGAGACAAAATGAGATACAGTAATTTGAGTGATATCGATAACATGATAAGAAGCGAACTGTGAACAACAATTACAATTCAAATACAGTAGTCAAGCAAGACTTGACCTGTAAGTTGATGGGCGGGTGGCATGCATGACCAACATAACTCGGCATTAGAGCTGGCAGATCAACCCCCCCCCCCTTCTACCAGATCATGCTGGATCCATCCCTGCCACCATGACTGTTAGTGTTGGTGCTAATTAAACAGTGCAATCTGCAATCTTGAACGGTCTGTGCCAGGCTAGATAGAGACGATAGCAAGATAACTATATATAACTTAGTACCTGAAAAATTCAAACAGAACTTCACTCGAAAAGTCATTAATTTGTACATTCCGCATGGATTTTCAAGCTCTGTGGATTATGGAATATAAACTAGGCTGTTATTACAATTTTCAAAATTGAAGTTGAAAGTGTCAAAAATTTCTTATCTTGGCCAATCTATTTTTTACTTTTATAGCATAATTCACTGAAACATATGGATATTAATTTAAACTATGTTTGAGAAAAATTCTGTTATAAAATCTTTTTTCAGATTAATCAGGTAAAGAGTAAGATACCTGGCATATCAGAATATAAGTTCTACCAACCAAAAAGAATAAAAAGATCAAAAAACAACAATAGAAATTATAGAATATAAACTCCATTTAAACTCCACTCCTTAGCTTGGCGCCATATTGAATTTCGCGGTCGCGCTGGTAAAGGCCTGGGGACTAGGTGCTCTACCGTATCTGCAACCTCATCCCCAGGGTCTTCTTCGTGCATGGCGCGTGAAAAATGAGAAGACCCTGGTAAAGGCTGTTCTAAACTGCGTTGTGATTGGTTTATACATTTGACCTTGAATGTGCTTTGAGGATGTTGTTATAATGAATATGATTGGTTTACCGCTAAATAATTCTTGTAATGAGCCCTACGATTGGTTGCATGATTTACAAGGATTTTCACAACAATAATTTGTTTGTAGTAAAATGCATGCTTCGCCAAGGCGCGAGGCTCGTTTCTGGCAAATATTTTCCAACTTTCAGCCTAATATCAGGCACAATATATAATGGAAATCGTAGTGTGAATATAGACATCATTTTGGTACTTCAAAGTTGAGACAGCTTATGTTCACATCGTTATCGAAGGTATGAATATATACACACACACTGTATGATCAAACAAACCACAGAACCATTTGCGTTTGTGACGTTTTAGTTCCTCTCAAATACTACCACTTGTTTAACTAGTACGAAAACCTCTTGTCTGCTTCATGTGACAGTTTAATATCAGTCTCAGATGAATATGCATTTTTATAGCAGAAATAGAGGCACAGAACGATTGCTGTTTGTATAGCTTAATTGTTACATGTTTAAAAATTATAATAATAAAATAAGCAGTTCTTGCTGGGCTCATAGGACACCAGGAAATAATAAAAACGAATCTAAGATCCTATGCAATATTAAAATTTTGGTTATGTCAATAATTTGTGCCACTGCAGCCAACTGCTGGAGCACAGCTACTTGAATTTTCCACAAGAATGGATGCCACTGACCACCAAGAATGGATGCCACAAATGGAACATTTAAAATATATTCAACATAACTATAAAATTATTTTCAGTTAAATCTAGCATTAGTGTTACACTGTAAATCATCCATAATTATCACAGGTGTACAGAGAGTACACTTTTCAACCCCCTCCCACAGCGACTTAACCGATGAATATTGGTTATGAACCCGCCTACCTGAAGCATATAGTTTGTACACTTCAGGAAATGTTGGTAGTTTTGGACAACCCATAATTGAATTTCATTAGCCTTTACATCATTGTGAATTACCATTTGCATGCATGTAACACTAACAGCATGATCTTTATTCCATACCATATAGGAAAAATTGAACACACCTGTCCTGCAGAGCTAGTACAAATTTACATTAGCAACTATTGAATCAGTGAGGGAGGTATAATAAAGCAAGTGTTTAAATAAATGCAGCCAAATCAAAATTGTTTGTCTCCACACTACACTTCCTCATCAATGGACAGCTCAATGAGAACAAATGTTGTGGACAACTGTGGGTTGGACATTGCAGGCTGGCTGCACATTTTGCAATGATGTACATGCAGGAGATCGGTTGTTGAAGCATGAATGAAATCGATTTCAAAAAAGCTCCAAGGCTTACTTTATGAGAATGGGTCATTCCAGAAAACATCCATACCACCCCCACAGAGGAAATAGGAAGTTAACCCCCTTCAGATGTCCTAATACATTTACTATTATCAGAAACAATTTTTTCTCCCCTCCCCCTCCAGACGGCAGAAATTTCCTCCATGGGGGGAGTATGGATCTTTTCTGGAACGACCCAATTCATTTTCCATATGAGTGAGAGTTCCTATCAGCCGCATGTGAGGATGCATATTACCACCTCTTTTCTTTACCCTTGCACAGTACAGAGAAGGAAAAACAAAGACCAGATTTTGAACCAAGTAACTTTGTTATTTAACTTAAAACAGCACTGTATATAACTTTAAATACTGTAAAAAATGAAATATCAGCTAAATACTAATTCAGTAAGAATTGTCTTGGTATGGAAATATCTTGTTCTGTTGTATATGCATTGTTGAATTGCCATGTCACTTTCTTGAGTATTACCAGAATATTAAGTATAGTTGAGCCAGCTTCCTAATATTATGGAATCTAGGATAGTTGTTGACTTTGCGGTTTTCTTAATAATCTCATATTAGCAACATTCCTAGATGCGAAGACTAACAGCATTCCCATCCCCATTAAGTTGTACATATACAGTTGCAGTCTTCTTGACAGTTCTTGTTTTATCCATATTGAAATTTGAGAAGCACGAATATCTAAAATATAATACAATTGATTTGCATTTCATTTCACAAACTGGAAACCTAAATCTATATGTTACACTAAATCTATCCAATTAATTTATTAACAGTAGATTTATTTCTAATTGAGAGAGAAACACACTTACATAAGTTACATTTGAACAAAACTATCTCTAAACTGGTTGGCAATCTTTTAGTTTTACTGATTCACCATTCAGTGCACAATATAAACTCACAATACAAATGAAATTTCTGCTGTCTGAAAGGGGATGGGGAAATGCACTTTTAGAATGGTAAAATGTACTAGGATGTGTAAAAGAATTTATGGGAGTTCTAATCTGTATGAGAGCTGTGGATCTAAGGCAAATTATTCCACATGTATGCACTTTGCATGCTCCAAGGGAATAAACTATAAATTACAGTATTATTATATACTAGAGTATTTATTAACATGCGATAATTTTTAGTCAAAATAACTTAAACAAGTGCCAACGTTCACAGTGTAAAATGGATATGAGTCTATGGCCCACTAGTAAATTTTCATTATCAAATTATAATTTCTCAAAACTAAGCGCTTTAAAAAATACTTTGTAGGCATATTAGCACCAGTCATAGGGCCATTATATGTTGAATTATAATATAAATAACAATAATATATTGTAGTTTTTCAATTACCTTCACAGTGACAGTGTTGTCAGACTGCCAGTGCAAGCAGCCGTGAGACATGACAAACAACGCGAATTCTTCGGCCAGGGAGATAAAAATTAGACGTGCTAGCTTCTTGTTACTTTCTCTCTCTAGACATCTTAATTTTTGAAGAGAAATTACTTATCTAGAGGTATATTTTAGCAAAAAAATACATTTCCAAAGTGAAATATTTCATCTCAAGAAGGCCATGAAAAATTTGGACGCCAGCAATGAATTGGTCAGCGCCAAGGCAAATTCGCTTTTGCGCATGCACTAAAATGTCCATGAATCGTGGAGATTTTCACAGCCTTTACCAGGGTCTTCTCATTTTTCACGCGCCATGCACGAAGAAGACCCTGGGGACGAGGTTGCCGTATCTGAAATAGCCTTCACCGAGTAAAATAGCATAAATTTATACAGGGACGCTGGAACTGGGGGGGGGGGGCAGGGGGAGCGGCTGCCCCCTTGCCTTTCGCTAGGGGGGGGGGGGGGAGAAGTGCCCTTTTAGTTGTAAAATACTACGTGATAAATCACATTTCCAACGATGCTTTTTCTAGGAAAATCATGAGATTCAGGCAATTTATAGTTTATATTTGACTTTCGCATATTTTAAAGACAGTGTCCTATAAATACGTGAAGTATCGTAAAGTTCCTGAAACCCGAAGCTATTATATATTTCGAATTTCCCAATTTAATACCCACACTGAAACAATTAACATGTAGTACTACAGATATACTCGATAAATGTATAGTGTTCTATACTGAATTCTACATATCAGCAGACATAGGTAAACA